ACACACACACACACACACACACACACACACACACACACACACACACACACACACACACACACACTCAATTTAGAGACTGCCTTTGATCTCCACTCCAGCCAATTCAGCCACGACACATACCCACACACTCACACACACACACACACACACACCAAAGAAACTGCCCACCAAACTATTTAGTTTCATTAGGCGCTGATTCTTCAAAAAGAAGAGAGAGAGCAGGAGAAAAGAGAAAGATGAGGAAGAGAAAAAAGGGAGAGCTGGGAGAAGAAAGGGACGGCAGCCACATTAAAATGAGACCTGCAGAAAAACTGTTACTGCAGAGAGAAAGTTGAAAAGGAGAGCGGACAGGAGGAGGAGGAGGAGGAGGACGAGAAAAGGACAAAGTGTGGACTAAATAGGAGGCCATATTTGCATCTTCAAAATAGACATGTTTGAAATGCTCCTTCACTGGTGCATTTCTCTAATATGAATTAAATCTTCTTCTTTTAATACAAACACAAAAAATCTACAATAAGAATATTTGTATTCTGTAAAGAAAGATGATCAAATGTGAAATTAATTAAATTCCAATAACAGACTTCATTTAAAGTACTCTTAATTTGTTTGTTTATTCTATTGTACATTTTCACATTTTTATTTCTTAAATGGCGTCTCGTACTATCGCACTGTGTTGATTTGTTTGCACCAATCAAGTCGAATTCCTCGTATGTGCAAACGTACCGTTTCTGATTCTGATGAGATGCATGTATTTTAGATTACCGGTAGGTGTTTTGGAGCAGGTACAGTCACAGCGTTCTTTATTTGTTGCCTTCTCAGTTGCAGCTTTTGGATTATGAAATATAGTTATAATAATGGGAACATGCCACTCTCACATGTATGTCAAACTCTCAACACTCACATTAAACTCCTGTTTCCTCTGTTGGGATAAGTTCACTTTCCCACTTGTGTTTGGGGCCAACAACGAGGTAACAAGTAGCCTGTTAACAGTGTGACATATATCTCTTATAATACACACAGAGTCACTCACAATAAAGACGCCACTAAAGGTGCTTCTCATTTTTGGGGAACCTTGCCGAGGTTCAGCAGAGGAGTGCTTTGTTTTGTGACTCGAATGAAAGAAAGTGAAACGAGGACACGAATGCAGTCAAGTCTGGATCAGAGCGACGGACAGCAGATGACAACACCCACAGGTCACAACAGCAGAGACCCAGGAGTCTCCTCCACTTCTAAAGAGGAGGAGAGAGAGAGGGGAGGGGGGGGGGGGGGGGGAGAGAAGGAGGCGGTCGGCAAAAATCAAACGAGACCCAATTATAGGAATCACAACGAGTCAGTGAGCAGAGGGAACTCTCCTACCTGGAAAACACCGAGGCATGTGCGTGCACACTCTCCGACGCGCACGCTCAAACCAATGTGCACAGGTGCTATATAACTGCACACACACATTTGTTTTTTTACACACACACACGTATACACACAAGGGAGCAACAACGCTTGCACACAAACACACACTTCTTCCCAAAACCTAGTGTGGATCCTGATAATTAGCCTGGCCAGGCCGGTGTGAAATTACTGTTCTCATCTGCTAATGGATGAGAAGACCTGAAGCGAATAGACACAGACACAGACACACACAGACACACACACACACACACACGCTTCTTCTTTTAAAATAATAACAGAGGGAAAGACTAAAAGAGCAAAAGAAAGACAAACAAAAATTGGGTTGTTTGCAATAAAGTCTGGATATTTACTGATTATTGACCCGTCTGGCTGCTGTGTGAGCATCTGCACTGTGACAACTCATATGTCGTGAAGGCCACCGATGAGGAAGAGGAGGAAGAGGAACTATTAGTAGCACTGCTCGTCCATTAAAAAGACCACAGAGAGAAGGACGGACAGCGAGACAAGATGGAGAGAACAGGACGAGAGAAACACACAGAAACACAAAGGACACGGAGGAAAAGAAAGAAAATATGGTTTGAAAAAAAAAGAGATGGAGACAAAAAGAGAAAGTGAGTGAGAAGACTGGGAGGGAGAGGAAGAGAGAAAACTGAACCTGTGACCTTAGATGAAAGAACCAGTCACTGTGGGCTACAATTAGGGATGGCAGGAGGGAGAGCATAGGTCAAGAGAACAGGGCTCCACACACACACACACACACACACACACACACACACACACACACACAC